CTAATATTTTATCAAGTATATCAATCCAATTTAAAGATTTGTTTTGTGCAAAATATCTATAGAGCCGCTGCTTTACATTTCTTATAGCCCTTTCGGCCACAGAAGCTTTAACAGTCGAATGAGTAGCCTCATTCTTTTGAATCTCCTCATTCTCAAAATATTCCTTTACAACTTTGTTTTTAAATTCTAACCCTTTATCTGAGAAAATCCTATGAGGTTTCATGGGCATTTGACTAATTAACTTTTTGAATGCATCTAACATATCTTTTGAGCCTTTTGATTTAACAGGAACGCCAAAGAGACGTTTAGAAAGTACATCAACCCCTAGAAGAATATATTTATTTCCCTTGTTATGCCTGGAGAGAGCCTGCATATCTGCCAAGTCTACTTGCACATCTGTCATAAAACCTGCTGCTACAGTTTTTGCTCTTTTAAAATTAACTCTTTTAGGACGCATAAGCGTATAAGTCCTATGCCCCTCCAAATAATTCTGAACAATATTTCTAGGTAAATTTTTGATAACTTTTCTTGCTTCATACCAAAGTCGATCAACACCTGAAAATGCTGCAGGCGAATCTGGATTATTGTAGAGGTGGTTCAAAAGTTTTGTAGGATCCGCCATTTACCAGAGAGTAGGTTTAAATCTTTTTATACCAGCCTCCTTACGTTTAGCTTTTATAAGTCTTAACATCCATTCTCTACCGGCTTTTGCAGATTGTTGTTTTGTCACTGGTTTTACTCTTTTCAAAGCAATTAGAGGACTTTCGTCTGGACCTTCCCATTTTCTTTTTAATTTTTGACGTCTTTGGATATCATCTTGTCTACGAGTTTGAACTAATGCTGTTTGATCAATAGGAATCTTTTGTTCCCGAATATTACTTTTTCTTTGTAAATATCCCCTTCTTCTCTGTTCACGTATTAATTTTGCTTCTTCATGTTCGTCATATCCTTTTTTCCATCTCTTTGTACCCTCAAACTCTTCTGTCTGTCCCCTTTTTATAATTTGTCTAGGAGGAAGATGGTCAGATACAAGGGGAGCATCAATACCTTCAGGAATATTAGGGAGAATTGGGTTGGGAGGAGACGGAGGAAAATCATCATCAACAGGAGGATTTGTGTTATATTCAGGAGTATAAGGAATTTTCCAATTTTTCAATAACTTTTTCCTTTCTAATTTTTGCAATTTATTTCTAGCCTTTTCAGCATCTTTCAAATACTCATTTCGAGCCTCATTTTTATAATTAATCAAATGTTGTCTTTTATTTTGTCCATAATCTTCCCCCTCAAGTTTTCTCTTTATTTTTTGTCTAGGATTAGGAGGAGTAGGGGAAATTCCAGCCCTTAATAAATTTTGTCGTCGCCTTTCGGGGGCTCTTTGTTCGATTGAAGAATTTGATAAAGGTGGAACAATATTATATGTTAAGGCCGGCGGCTCATGTGGATAGGCAGAATACGAAAGATCATCGCTCATCCATAAATCATCATTATCGTCTGTAATATTTGTTGCAGGTCTGTTAACATCACTATTCATAATTGCTCCTTTGGGGTTAGCTACCATTTCGACTCTGACAGGTCTATTTTCACTCTCATTCCTTAATTTCAGATAGCGTCTTAGTTCTTGGTTGTAATGAATATTTTTGGCGGAGAGGTTTTCTTTTTTAATTTTAGCCTTCTCAACCGCTCTCTTTGTGAAATCTAAATTTGGATCCCCAAAATTATTTGAAGTAAGTCCTCTATAAATCTCTTCTGGAACTAGAATTAATTTTTTTGCCATTATTTTTAAATTTATAATTGATTTGAATTATTTTGATAGGCTTTTATACTAATTGTTCGAGCTATCTCCATTAAAACAGGAGTGAGAAGAGCAGCAAATACTCCTACTCCTCCACCTTTTTGCCTTAAAACTTTTCTTACTCCCCGCTCACTCCTAGCACGGCTTATTTGACGAATAAAATCTACATGAGGTATCAAACGTTTCTTTTGACGAGTAGTAAGTTTGAAACGAGATTTTACTATATTTAAACAAATTTCAACAATTGATAACAATTGATTAGTATCTGCTTTTCGTAAAATTTTTCTGCTTCTACTTTCAGATTTTGTATGCGCTAGAGAACGTAAAAAATCTTTATTTTCACAAATTATTTGGCTAAACATTTTTGGAAATGAAAATTATCTTATCCTCATCGTCCTTAAATATGTTTGTTCTGAGTCTTAGAGATGGGTCTGAGGATGCATGCAAATCGATAAGCAAATATCCGTAAGGTTCATTTGTTGCTTGTTTATACGCATCGAGGAAATAGTCTAACTGACGAGGAAATAACTGTACACCAATATTTCTCACGGAGAGTGCAGAATTCGGAGACCTCATTAAAACAATATATTGGGCATTTTGTCGCGCAACCTTAATCTTTTTTTCAAATAGGTTTTGGGTAACAAAAACAATTGCAAAATTTTGATGATGAGACTTTTTTGTAAATAGCTCCGAAAGATATTTTTCATCAATTGACAACAATAAATCATCAAGAATTAATAATAATGGTTTTGGATATTTTTTTATCAAGTCCTCAGGAGGAACTCCAGCATAAACATTAACTCCTGATTTTTGAAGGATCGGGATATTAGCGTTCATCTCTCCAAAACAATACAGTATACTTTTTGGCTTGGGTTCGATCAAATCTTGGGAGTCCGCAATAAATTTTAATAAGAATGAACTTTTTCCACTTGAGCTTGGCCCAGACAAAATCATACCAAAAGGTAGTTTAAAATTTAAGTCTTTATTAATAAATGATTGTAATTCCATAATTATAATATTTACGAAAAAAAAAACAAATTAGAGGGTAAACACTTATGCTTATATAGGAACATTTGTTTCATCTATTTTCTCTTCTTTCTGAACCTTCTCTTCCAGCTTCTTCGGAGATGAAGATAATCCAGTTGTAGCTGCCATTAAACTATCATAAAATTCCTGAAGTTCTTTCTCGAACTCTACATTATCAGGAGGTGTAGGAGGTGAGGAGTATCAACTCGAGGAGGAGAATGCAGAGGAGTAGGGGAGCTATGAGGAGGAGAAGACAAATTATTAGTTAGAGCAGTTGGAGTAAGAGTAGGCAGCTCATCAATTTTCCTTTTCCCTCTCTTGGGATTTTGATGGATTATCTGTTGCGCTTGTACTCCATGAGGAACATTGAACACTCTCCCTTTGTTCCTTACTTTGAAAAAGCAATGTGTGGGCAACTCATAAACTGTATCGAATGGGACAAATCGGGTACCTGAGCCAATTCGTGTACAGTAGATGGTAACCCCTTCCTTAGTCACAATAAAATCAATTTCTACCTCTGTGCTCTTGCACTTCTTACATCTCCCTGACTGGTCGTAAGGAATAAATCTAGGAGTAGTAAGTCGAGAACTTAAAACGGTTATTCCACTAGAGGAGATATTAAAATCTACTTCTGGGAGGATTTGGGAAAACAAATTTTGATTCATTTTGAAATAATGATACAAAAATCCAAAATCGCCACCCTTTTATACTCGGAGTTTTCACTGGATTACAACATTAACAAAAACTGACACGCCTTAAAAACACGCACATACACAAAACACGCGCACATACCTAAAATGCGTGGATTTTAAAAAAATTAAAATTTGCACTTTCTTTTGTCTAAATATGCACTTTTACCCCCAAAATTAACTACTTCAAACTCCAAACTATGCTTTTTACAACTTGTAATGCTTAATTATGCACTTTTCTCCCTAAAATCAACAACTTCTAAAGGTTAATTATGCACATTGGTTTTTCAAACTCTTAAATATGCACTTTTCTCCCTAAAATCTACCACTTTAAAACATTAATATTGCACATGATTTTTATAAAAAACGATAAAAATTATTGCAAATAATGAATACAAACACTGTTTAGCTAATTACAAAGAACAATTTGATTATTCGATGAGGTAATAGATCACTTGTTGTATGGTTCTATAAGATTGTAACAAGATAAATGTGTTTTGCTAATTTAGAAAATACTCTTTCACCACTGCTTACAAATTGCCCTTCAACACCACAACTCTACCGATATGTATGTCCTCATCCTTTTAATTTTGCCAGACCCCTCTACTCCACGATGGTGATTGTTCACCCGCAAAGGAAAGGAGAGGATAAAAGGAGAAGAGAAGATGATACGAGAGGAGATGAGAGAGTAGAAGAGAGTAGGAAGAAAATAGAGATTAAACGAGTAGGAGAAAAAGAACGAGGAGAGGAGTAGGATATGGAGAGGAGGAAGGAAATAGTATCATAGAGGAAGAACCGAGAGGAGAAGATGAGATCAGAGCAGATGGGAGGAGTAGGAGGGAGGAGGAGGAGGAAAAAATAGAGAAGATAAGATTGGGAGGAGAAAGAAGGAGAATGAGGAGAGAAGGAGTAGTATAAGAGAGGAGAAGATGAGAGGAGTAGGATAGAGGAGGAAAGGGCAAGTCAAGATCAGAGAAGATATGAGGAATAGGAGGGAGGAGGAGGAGGAAGAAGAAGAAAATAGCGGAGAAGATAAAATGGGGAGGAGAAAGAATGAGGAGAGGAGGAGTAGTATCAGAGAGGGGGATGAGAGGGGTAGGATATGGAGAGGAAAAGCTGGTTATCACCGACCTATCAAAGTGATTTGACTTCAAGTCAAAACAAATGAAAAGGATTTGTCTTAAAAGTCAAAAAGTCGGCCACGACGACGATGATGATTCACAAATTACCCCTTAAACCACTTTCTCTACCCTCTCATCACTATTTGATTACAAGACTATTTTATCCATTTCAGTTATTGCCACCCTAGACGATGATGTCCACATTCAAAAGGGGTTCTCTTCCTTTTAGTTTTCCCCTCATAATTAAATATTTCCTATTGTCTGACCCATTCTCCCCAAATATTGCCATTCACTTTTCTTTTATCGTATCTCTCCGCAAGAATTTTCCTCTCCATTTTCCAAACAAATAAATGCACATACTCTATCGTTTGTATGACCTCTCCACCACAAATCTTGGCTTCCCTTCCCACTCCACCCCAAGACTCTGCCAAGTTGTCCACTCCCTTTAGATTTTTGCCGCGCGATCCCCAACATGCCCTCTTCCTTTTGGTTTTACCAGACCCCCACCAACCCACGACGTTTTTTTCCAGAGAAGAGAAAAGGGAGAGAGAAGAGGTAGGGAAGGAGAGGGAGGAGGAGTAGGACGCCCGCGACATCAATTTTTCCCTCTCCTCCTACAGGTACAGGTTGGTCAGCTTTTACCGCACTAACTCGCGCTAAAGGTTTGAGCTTTGACCAGCCAGCCGCTCAAAAGGATTTGATCTTAGGTCAAAACAAGTCAAAAGGATTTGATCTTAGGTCAAAACAAGTCAAAAGGATTTGACTTTCTTATTGCCACCCACGACAGTGATTTATACAATTATCCTCCCTCACATCCACTTTCAAAAGGTTTCTCATCCTTTAGGTTTTCCGCTCTAATAGGTCAACATACTCTCTCCTTTTGTCTGACCACCCCCCAAATATTTGCATTCTCTTTTCCTTTCCCCTCCTCCCCCACGACGCTGCCGAAATGTCCACTCCCTTTAGGTTTATGTGACCTCAAATCCCCACGACGCTGCCGATATCCTCTCTCCCTTTAGGTTTTTTGCCGCACTTTTCCCGACATACCCTCTTCCTTTTGGTTTTACCAGACCCCTCCACCCCCACGACAGTGAGATCAAAAGGATTAGGTTAGTGACAGCCACGACACCGGCGTACCTATGACTACTACCAACTATTATATATAGAATTATCGCATATCAGGATCCCCAAAAAAACTGTTGGGAATATTGATAAGATAACTGATTAAAAATTTCATATCAATGCTTCGAGTATTTCTTTCTTCGAGCATTTCTCTTCAAAAATTTACAAAAAGTACAATTAAACAAATAAATTTGTTGACAAATTTATAGCGTGATAGGGCTGAAGAGCTTCGTCAAGAACATTTAACAATAAATCATCATGTTCAAACAAATCCAGTATTGAATGCTGATGGTCAGATACGACAAAATGTAAATTTATTAATTATATTATAAATTTGTTTATATGGCTCTTAGGAAAAAATTAAATGATTAAGTTAACGGAATCTACTAAAGGCATTTTATTTACATATTACAGGGTTACGATCGACAAAATGCCACTCAAAAGTATCAAAATCTTGATTAAAAAGTATATAGGGAGAAAATTTGCAAAAAAAAAGTAGTCTCAAAATTAAATCAGAAAATATTTATTCGTGCTCAAATCTTTCCTATTTCCCTCCTAAATGAATCTATTCTAATAATTTCTTGTTTCAACTGAGCATCCTGTGCATTTAAATGCACTTTTTTGTGGCTCCGAAGGAGCCACAAAATCTATTTTTGCGCCGCAGGCGAAAATTTTGAGAATTTTGGAGCCCAAGAAGCTAGATTTCTTTCTTTTTTAGCGCCGCAGGCGAAAATTTTGAGAATTTTGGAGCCCAAGAAGCTAGATTTCTTTCTTTTTTAGCGCCGCAGGCGAAAATTTTGAGAATTTTGGAGCCCAAGAAGCTAGATTTCTTTCTTTTTTAGCGCCGCAGGCGAAAATTTTGAGAATTTTGGAGCCCAAGAAGCTAGATTTTTTCCTTTTTCAGCGCCGCAGGCGAAAATTTTGAAAATTTCGAAGGCCGTAGGCCAAAAAATTCACTTTTTTGCCCAATCCCTACCCCAATTTCATTTTCAATTCAAAATGTTGATTTAAAAGTAGATACTTTCAAAAAAGTATAAATTCAATTTCGTAAGCATGGAGGTCGATTTAAAAGTAGAATACTTTTAAAAAAGTAGGAATCGTAACCCTGACATATTACTATAGATAACTTAGTAATAAAGCATACTTCATTTAAATCAAATTTTAAATAAATCAAATTTATAAATAGCTTGATGCAACTCGAAATTCTATTGAAACTGCTCGACACAATCTTCAATAGGTATATGAAAAAATGTTTAGATTAATGTGTTAACACTGATTAATAAAAAATTATCAAACTCTATTAATTATTCATAATTAGAGCAAAAAGCAATGATATAATGATAAGGCTAAGGTATTAGCAGGGGTGTCGCTGGCCATTGATTGCGGTGTCAGTTTGAGATTTTGCTCGTTTTCTTATTTAGAAACCAGTGACATCCATAATATATATCTAAAGGCTTGTGGAACATGTTTTAAAGAATATAGTATAAACAAATTTGAGCTCAATAAACTTAACTAAATATCCCGGGAACAACAAGGTTGTAACCTAAAATCTAATGCTATTATTTATATTTAACTACTAATTAATAAAATTTATTTCTAAGATTTCATCGGCAACAGAAATTTATGATTGAACGAAGAAAAGAATTGAAGATTGACATATAAAATGTTATTTGTTCACTAATTTTTAGTGACTCCCCTCCTGGGCCCGTAGAATAAATTCGGGGTAAGGGGTATTTAACCCCTACCTTGGGGTTAAATAACCCGTAACCCGCAGAATAAATTCAAACCCCTAGCTTCGGGTTAAATGACCGGGTCAGATAACCCGGTTATCTGACCCGCGTAACCTTCCCGGTAGAATAAATTAATTACCCGGGTTAAATAACCCGCAGGTAAGGGGCAAATTGCAACCCTACTAGAGGGCAGGGTAACATGCGAATTATGCATAATTTCCAAAAAATTTAAACATTTATTAAATTGCAAAATTTTTAAAAATTTTAATTTCTATTCAAAACGCATAGAAAAAAATTTTTTAACAAAAACTTTTACAAAAATTTTTGAAACAAAATTTATTCAGATTTAAAAATTTTATTATTTTTTTAAATTTTTTCATTTGACTATATCTCTTTTTAATAATAACAATTACTGCGTAAACTATTATTGCGAAATGGGGTTTGCAATAAAATATGAAGGGTCAAATAACCTAGTAACTCAACTAGTTAAATAACCCTTAGCTTGGTGTTAAATAACCCTTAACTCGGGGTTGAATTTATTCTACCGATTTTAACCCGTAGCTAAGGGTTATTTGCCCCTGGGTTGTTTAACCGGGTTATTTAACCGTGTTATCCAACCCCGAATTTATTCTACGGGCCCTGTTGGATGAATTTTCATTTAATCTGTAACGCCCTCCTGTTGGGTGCCGGAATTCTGGTCACTGGAATTTTGGTCACCAAGGATTTTCGGAACTTTGGTCACCAACTTTTTTGGAATTTTGGTCACTAGCGGAATTTTGGTCACCAAGATATAAAACGGAATATTGGACACTGAAATTTTGGTCACCAGGAGGAATTTTGGTCACCAAACGGGAAAAACAAATCTTATCTAGAATTGATATCAAAGTGATAAAAAATTGTTTTTCAACTACTTGATGATTATTTTCAATGTTGATCACTTTGCCGGTTAATCAATCTTCCGGGAGAGTGATTGAGAGTGATCAACCGAGAGAGTTATCAGCCGGAAGAGTGATAAACTTTGAAATTGATCAATTGGGGGTTGAAAAATCATTTTTTATCACTTTGATATCAGTTCTAGATAAGATTTGTTTTTCCTGTTTGGTGACCAAAATTCCTCTTGGTGACCAAAATTTCAGTGCCCAATATTCCGTTTTTTGACTTGGTGACCAAAATTCCGCTAGTGACCAAAATTCCAAAATAGTTGGTGACCAAAGTTCCGAAAATCCTTGGTGACCAGAATTCCAGTGACCAAAATTCCGTACACCCTCCTGTTAGATTCTTCAAAATTTTACTCAAGAGTTCAACATTTGCCTAGATTCGACATTTGCCCTTAATAAGTATAGGTCAAATAGGATCAAATGATAAGCAAAACATTGCCGTATCACAAGGAAGTTCTCCTGTTGAATGAATTTTTAAAAATTTTTAAGCTTAGGTTTACAACTTTGGATTATGCAAGTGTCGTACCCTGTTCAAATTAACTATTTTTCAAATTTAAAATTCAATCTGTTTTTTGATAAAGTCCTCTTTCAATTTTATTATATTTCATTAACATTAGGCATTGTCATCAGATTGGCATTAATTTTACAAAAAAGTTTCGTTTCTACATAATTGTAGAGTAATTACAGAAATATTTTAATTACATTAAATATAAAGAATCGAAAATTTTTTTGGCAATGAGGTCCGATTTGATAATGTCGAAGTTGACTTTTATTATTAAAAAGTCTAAAAGCCTACTATTATTTACGGTTATATTATCAAGCCATTAGCTTCTAATGGCGTTTATTCTTTAATATCACTTTTTTAGAAAACGAAAATTAAGATGATTTTTTATTATGAACTTGACAAGATTCTTGAACTTGAGTCTGTTTTTTCCGATGAAATTAATTTTTATTCGAATGAATCATTACATATTTATAAATTAAAATTAAATAATTTATTTTAAATGGAAAAAAATTATTTAAATAAAAATTATGTACATATACATATTTAAATTTAATTCTCGGTTATTCATCGTTATTCTGGATTTCTACATTCTTTTTTACATATAACTGCCCCACAATTAGCACCACAATTTAAATCCTTCCATTGTCCATTTCCATTAATAGCCGCACATTCACGGCATTGGTGAGATTCTTTGTCTTTATCATCCGAAGATATGTCGTCTGATAAGGGTAAGGTTCCGGGCTGTTTAAATTTATGAATATGAACCAAGAAATTTATTTCTAACCTCCACATGCTTTTCAAAATCTACACTACTTCCATCATCCCAAAATTTTTCTTTCGAACCTCCATGGCCTGAATGAAGTCCAATCCAACAACATGCAGAAATGTTTCCACCAGCCTGACCTATAGCCAATGCAGATGTAATTGTGTTTTCCTCGTTTGAATGAATAGAAGCAACTTGGGCATCGTGTTTATGGCAAATGGAAAGAGCCTAAAAAATTTCTTAATTAATATTATGAAAGCAAGATGCGAGATGCAGCTCACTAGCATTTAAAACGATTACTAGGCGGTGGCTTAATATCTAACTATGTTTGAAGTCACCTGTGCTGAAAGCGGGTTACCAAAATTGCCAAGGGGTCTTAGGATCTATGCATTCATGGCTAAACTTTCATCCCACTCTTCATCTTAATATTTCTAATCTTAAAATCCATCTAGGTTATATTTTTACCTGCCAATAATTTCCAGGACTGTGCAGAGGAAAAGCATGGAATGCTTTTCCATCCGTATGTGGCCAGCCATCTTTTCCACAAACTAAAAATAAATTTCAAATTTGAAATGTTATTTAGATACCATCATGTTTATGTTCTCCGTCACAAGGCTTTTTACATATAAAACCTCCAATTTTTTGATTACAAGCGAGATCATTCCATTTAGCTATGCCTGATGATGTTGCTAAATATATTCCTGTACAGTCCTCTGATTGGCCATCTTAAAAATAGAAAAAATACGTATAATCTCTAATTCAATGCTCGGACATCCTATTTTTCAATTATCCTCCAGAGGCATTCTATGGAGGGGGGGCATTTTGTAGGAGATTTTATAGTAAATTAAAAATATATTAAGTAAATTTTTACGTCCGTGTGAACTATTAGTTCCAGAAGGGTCACAATTGCCCCATGGTTCTATTTTCATATTGCAATCGACTTCCCCTTCATAGCAACCATAATCACATTCGGAGCCATCAGACCACACTTGTACTACCGCGGGATTATAACTAAAAATATTGTGTTATTTTTATTCTTTTTAAAATTACAATGGATAAAATTGGCTTCGATGAAGACTAATCCAAAATCCTCTAAGAATCTTGTCAAGAAGTTCATGTGCCTTATCTATATGAGGAACCCTTTCAGCACAAATTAAAGGATTATTTTGACATTCTGCCAATAGAGGAGCTGCCAACTTTGCAACAAATGAATTTTCTTCAGCACTGTAATGCTTACAATTTCAGCACCCTCTGAACGGCATCTAAGCTCAGCCTTTCAAATTTTTAAATAAATTTTCAATAAAAATTTATGCCGATGGTTATTGGTTAACACATCCGACTTAAACATAACTTGATACTCAGGCCAAATGCCCTGGCGGCATTTATTGAGGTCTTAGCTTTAGCTTGAGGATTTGCGTATTATCAGATCTGATATCCGAACCGAAAATTTCCGTTAATCCTGTCTTTTTTTAGATCCGGATCGCCGTCGTTACCTTTTCTGTCTGTAAACTTTCTTACTACTAAAAAGTAGGTTTGTTCACTATCAGTTAATACCCGGTTTATGTTAATCTTAATTTTAAAAATTCGGTTTTCAGTTTAAGTCGGATATCGGTTTTATTTTGGTGGAATGTATAATATATCATTCATTTTCATTAATTTTACGGTTAATTTTTGGCAAAATATATCAAAATTTTCGGGTTTAAAACCGGTCGTGGGCACCATATTAGCAAGTATATAAATGCTTAATGCTTCGCCTTCTCATTTAAGTTTATAATTAGGCTATATGGTTGATATAATCACCCCAAAAAATTTTTACAAACTTGAAAATAATTAATCATATCTTCAACAAAAACTTTGTAACCATACAAATGCCCATCTTTAGGATTTCGAAATGTTGTCCAGTCTTCTGTACATTGATTATTTTCATTATGTTTATTGTTTTTATGATTAATTTCTTTTTTTAAAAATTCTTACATCATTAGTTTATTTTCAGCTAATGACATTAATGAAAACTGATTTTCACTTTCTAATAATTTAGGTGATGGATTGGATAAAATATTTTTAATGTGTGCGAATATTAAGAACAAAATAGTTAATTTGTTGAAAGAAGCAAAATAGAAATTATTAAGCATTTTAAAATAACTAAAAAATTTTTAATTTAAAATAATAGAAAATTTAAAGGTTCAAAAGAAAATAGCAAATCATTCCAGAAAAAATTTTTTTTCTCGGAAAATAGCAAAAGATTGTATGAATTTTATCCAGATATCTATACAAGGTCAATTATCCAAAGTTGATTAAATTGGTGGGCTAAGATTTTGTAAACCCAGGAGCCAGGATTTGAAATGCCGGAGTTGGAGCTATCCAGCATGAGTTATACAAAGGACTAACTAGTTATTTAATAATTAGTTTATAGCGAGATATATTAAAATTTTGGAATATTTTAGATAAATAATTTTACAAAATTATTGACGGATTTATATATCTTTCTGATAATTATTTTTGAAATTGAGCCAAAAGGATTTGAAGGAAAAATTTATTTATAAGAAAAATTAGATTAAGGATTAAAAAAATAAATGTTTGTCTGGCTATCAAAGTTAAAAAAAAGTTGCAACATTTTGTTTTAAATTTTTTATAAAAATAGCGCTAAACAGATGATATTATTTTTAATGTTCCACCAATATGTAAATTTAATATTAAGTTATTTTGACAATTATATTTAGGTTATTTTTTTGAATATTAATAATTTTTCGGCTGGTTGTTGGGCAATAATGCATAATAAAAATTTTAAATAACCAGATCATCAATGACCACTAAATGTTATATTTATGTGGAAATGTATTAATGTTGCGAATTATTATTTTATAATTTATTCGTCCATTATAAAAAATATTATATTTATTTGTAATTATTTAAAATATAATTTTAAAGTTTAATATAATTATTTTGAAAATTAATTTTAAAAATAATTTGCTTATTATGTATGATAGATCCTGTTGCAAATTCAATATCAATAGCTCGGGGACTTATAGTGGATGCTCGGATAATTATCCTCAATCAAATAATTCCTATTCTCGAATAAATTATACACTCTAGCGTGAGGTTGAAGCGAAAATTAGCCAGGGTAATTATTTGAGCAAATGCCGAGATTTTAACAGTTCTATTGCCAAAATTTGCGATTGAAAATAACCTGGAAAAAATTTTAGTACATACAAAATATCATTAGCAAACTCCGTCCTAGCCCCAATACCATGAACTGGATATTACTAGTAAATTAGTACATTCGATTTTTATTCAAAAATATTCATTATAAAATAAAAGTAATTAAAATTAAAGATAAAATAATTTTAATATAAATTGAAAATCCTCCGCTAGTTAAATTTCTTTTGCTGCCATTTTTCCAGGGACAAAGCCTTTTCTTTTTCGGAACGGATTGTGTTGTTTCAATCTTTTTAGTTGATGATATTTCATCTATTTTTTGATAATTTTTGGATAATTATTTCCCAAAATAAGGCCCACATTAAAATATAGTCCGATTTTGGCGTTAGTTAAAAAATACAGGCACCCTTGATTCTCCTTTAGGATAGTGTTTACATACATATTAACTACCCTCTACTAATACTCATTTCTGGATCTTTCGTTATGATATTTCGATCATTTTCCCTACTACATATATTAATTTACCTAATTCATCACCCATTTTTTCTTTAACTATGTAGTGTTTAAAATTAATCCTATGTATAATTCTTATTTTTTGCCGGTAAATAGGCAACTCTACTAGGATCATAATCAAAAGTAATTTGCTCTCTGAAAACTTTAATTCTTATAATGTTTAAGCCGCTTAAGCCAGGGGGGGGGGGCTCAAAACCTAGGTGAGAACCTAAGTACATATTTAGGATTCTGGCAGTGTATTAATATTTTTACTTACTAATTTTCGTTGAATCTGATTTTGAACTTAAAAATTCTTCAGTAGGCCTATTTGTAGAAATTTCATTCGTTGTCTTTTCAGTTTTTCTTGTTGTACTAGGTGTAGGATTAGTTTTGACATAAGGATTGTGTACTTCGATTCTTTCAGGATCTTCACTTGAATCCTCTCCGATTTTATACGAAAATTTATTGACAGATGTTCTAGTTATATCACTTAAATTTACAAGTGATCCATCGTTACAATATTCTGTCCCACAAATTAGACAATGATGACAATTATCTACTTCGTTCAAAACTTCACAAAAATTAAATTCGTTAATTACTTTTGGAACATTTAAATTTTTATCTGTCTCACTAAAATAGAATTTCACATCATCCTCATGTAAACATTTGTGTACATCTAAATATAAATTAGTATCAGTGCATCAGCAGATTTTTCAGTTAAAGTAACCGAACCTACATCTCCGATAATTTGTTTGTTGAAAGTGGATATTTATTTGAACCTTGAATAGAACCATCCCAAAACTAACAATATATTAGATGGGTCTTGTTAATGAGGTTAATCGCTTGATTCGTGAATTAATTGAAAAACCCCTTATTTGTGAGAGGAAATCTTGTACGCCTCATTGTTTATAATTATACACATTTAGAGAAATAAAAAGTGAGATAAGCTTGCTAGCATTTAAAACACTTAAGCCGGGATTTAAGATTTGCACATGTCTGTACTCAATTTAGTAGAAGGTAAAGCTTAGAGCTCAGTAGATAGAGACAGAGTTAACAGACAGTGCTAATTTATTCATAAAATCATTTACATTGTTCTTCATTATTACAGTGAAATAAAGCCAAACAATTCCCTAAATCATTACTTCCCATTTTGGCACAGTCAACTCGGTAAGCCTGTGTTTTATTGTCGTAACCAAGTGTATCATTTAAATTATCATCTTCGTTGAAATCGTTGAAAAAGCATTTTATTGCTATTAAATTAATTTATTAATTTTCTTAATTATTTCTTATTAGATTATAGGTTTTATTAGATTATCAGGCTTCGTCGTCCTAGAATTTTTTGACATTAATACTTTATTTGAAGATATAAATGGATAAATCTAGAAGCTTTTTCTTCTAACCCTAATTCTTATCTCTTTTGACATGTTACAGTGATTTTTAAATTTCAAAATTTCTGAGATAAAATTTCCGCTATAATTAGGTTTGGCATTATTTTAGGAATGGAACTTTTTTTAATTTTTCAAAATTTTGGACGATTGATTTTAAGAATTTTTGAAATTTATTTTTTAATTTTTTAACCTTCAATTTTGATAATATTTGTCAAACTCAAGATTAGAATAAATAATAAAAACATTAATTCGGATTAAATTGAATTAGAAATATAAATTAGGTATCCTATAATTTTAAAATTATTTTATTTAAATAAATTAAAAGGGGGAATGATTATTCTTATTTTAGTGAAAATAAAAATCTGTATAGATATTTTTACTGAAATAATTATGAAAATTAAATGATTCATTCTAAAAATATTTTTGGATTCTTTTTTATTTTTATTTAAATGAATGCAGATAAATATTATGTACTATGTGTATAGTTAACCATTTTTAAATATTTAACTATTTTTTATTAAAAAAATCAGTAAAATATTGAAAAAAAGACATGTATTTCAGTAAGGCATTTGAGTGAAAAGTTCATTCAATTTTTTTCAAAAAATACAATGAAAAATTTGTAGTCCAGCAAAGTTTATTTGTTAAATGAAGGTTTATGAGCTTCATGAAAGTTTATTTTTAAATTTCAAATATTTTCAAAAAATTTTTCATAATATCTTAATATTTAATTTAAAATATGAATATAAAATTCCCTTGAACTATGTAGAATTTACAAGTAAAATAAAATATTAACAAATGCACACTAATTGCTATTATGCTTAAGTATATTCCTGAATATATGATTTTTAAATAAAAATATACATGCAAAATTTACTCTGTATTAGTACATTTATTTGAAAATTTTTTTGTTTTACTATAATAAAACATTTGGATATAACACTAAATTTTGGATTCTTTTACAAGAAAATTATGTATATTCTACTCCTATAATTTTCTAATAAAAGTTCATTGACTTAAAATCTTTCCTTGCTTAAGGAAGGTCAATTCGTGTTGAAAAGCATTAATGAAATGTGACGCACCAAAGGACTAAACTTTATCAAGTAATGCTTCCTGAACAATATTTAAATACAGCAGTTTCCATATTTGCTTCCATTTTATTCATTCCACTTTCAATAATTGCATTAATAATTAATTTATTATATGCTTGTGTTTTGATTCATGGGCACCGATATTTTTCTACAAAATTTGTTTATATTTGTTCAAGACATTTAGTAATAGCTGATATAGTATCTTCACTAACACAAATTTTTGTAATTGTCCCTACTGTTATTTTACCATATGAGATTGGAAGAGGTTAGTAGTTGATGAAGTGTGTTGAAAAGAGTCAGATTAAGGTTCTCGGGTTTTGTCTAAGTAGCCTTTAGATTAAATTCGGAACATAGACAACTGTGACCCCGTTTTCCTTAGATTTTTTATATTTAAGAGCTAGATGAAAAAACAGGTACAGACGGTTGTTCTATTAATTAAAGATTTTATAGAATTCTCGTCGTAATTCCGCCCAATCCGACCTCATAACATCGATAAGGCTATTCTTCCTTTAGTTCTTAAATTATAATCCAAGTTATAACCTAAAACATTTTTAAAAACCTAATTAAAATTATTTTAAATCCTTAAATAATTTAAATTAAAGAATTTCTTCTCTCTCGATTTGTTGAAACCGTCCTAACATGCGAAACTCTCGCACATATGGCTACTTTCCATTTTATGTTTTTACAATCACTTGGACATGTTCACAATCAATTGTTATATTCACAAAATGAAATAGCAATACATGCATTAAATAATTGGGGTTCTATTATTTGTACAAGTATTTGGATTTGGTTAGCTTGTAAGTTGATAAATATTATTGTATTTTTTGAATAATTACTCAGAGTAATAATTGTTTCGATGAATCATTAGAGTAATGAATCGAGAAAGGCAATTATCCGATATTTGAAATCTGAACCTGTTTAGGGCATTTGATAGGGGGGGTGTCATTATTGGTTTGCATAAGGGTGGGGGTATTCAATGGAGGTGATCAACAGGGGCAGATAATAGCTATACATGCATTAAATAAGCTATACATGCATTAAAAATTACACTATTGGAAAAGCAACAGCAAGAGTTCTATCCAAACTTAATGACCCAAACATAAAAATAGATGCAAAAGCACCAAAGATTGGTATAGCCTGATATTTAAATGCCACAATTGCTGGTACAAAGTTTATGCCTTTTATTGTAAAAATCAAAAAGAAAATATGCCCAATTTGATGTAAAATTTCACAAAACGAGTTGATAGCCAGTAAAATACTTGTTTTGCTTTTCATTGCCGTATATTTTCCACTAAGATTTTATTGAATATTAAACAAGGAAATAATAATTTTTGGCTAAAATGTACATGTGATTTTTCGAATATTATAGGAATATTATAGGTCAATGGAGGTAATCAACAGGGGCAGATAAGCCTTAGTCAATAGAAGATGAGTGATTATTTAGGAAAAGGTATTTATTTAGGTTTTGCGGTAATGTAAACTTTATTAAAACTCATCTCTTATCTAAATAATTTTAAAAAAAAGTATAATTAATTAATTACAAATTTAGTTTTACTTCTAATCTTCGGAGCTTTTTATCGTTGTGTTCTTCGTTTTAATATTGTTAGCTATTCATTTTATTGTGTCTGTCATGATGATGATAATAATGGATTTGGTGGAGCTTATTTAATAAAAATATTGCTTGGATTTTTAATGATTATGTGTATTGGAATTAATTTGTTTGGAGCTGTGTATTTTGAAAGAAAGATACAGTTATAATTAAATTTATAATTTAATTAGAAAATCTTAATGAGATCTTGTAAATATTGTCTTACATATTTATGATTAAATAAGATATTTGTTAGCCTAGCGAAATTTAACCAAATAATCTGTAAGACAAAAAAAAATCCGATTTTAGTAGTTCAATTGAGATAGGAATGATTTGTCGGATTATAAGAAACCTTGAACTTTTTCAAACTCAACTCCGGAACCCAAACTTCTATCGAGTTTGAAACCCTTTTTGAAAAATCTTGAAATCCGACCAGAAACTTAACCCTATTTCTCTGCTAGATAACACACTAAAAGCATGGCCATGTTTATTTTTCCATTGATTCTAAACCCTTTAAAGCATTATTTTCTACATAATGGGAAATAAATTTTTTGTTTTCTAATTGGAATTTAAAGACTCGTCTTTTAGAAAATTATTCCCTGGAAATTCTCGATCTGCTGCAATATCCACAACCACAGCAAATATTCGAAGGACATCAATCAGCGTTAGTGTAATACATAGAGTTCATTTACAACAACAATCTATCCAATCAAATCAAAGAAAAATTCTTTATGAAATGCTTAAATCTAAAGCTTTTTTTGTTCAAGTTGAGAAAATATCTTAATTATTTTATTCTAAATTTTAAGGGATTTTATATGTCTTTATCCTTATTAGCTCGTTATTCTGGTTTTCATTTAATTCCATTATTTTGTTTGTTTTTGTATGGTAATGGGGTTCAAACAATTAATGAAAGGGCTACAATTAATGTTATTGGAAACGTTTTAATTTTGGTAAGTTTTAAAAGTAGAATCCGACTGTCATTTACTAACAGCGGTTGGAAGCTCGTATCAAAATTCGTACTCGTATTACCTATGCCCGAAGTACTCGTACCTGTGTACGAACTGCATAATTCCAATCACTGTTTACTAATGCATTTTATGGGCAGATGATCCATCTTTATTACATACCTTTATTCAGATAAAAAATGAAATCAAATAAACTAAATGATAGAGAAATAAAAAGGAACAAATTTAATCAAGAATTTTCGCAATCCCCGCCTATCTAAAGTGAATTTCACGCCTTTTTGGCTAAATACTCTTACATTCCCAGTGCATTATGATGAAAGGTTAAGTGATTGATTAATTTTGGATGATCCTGTATTTAAATGCATACTAGTTACACATACCTATCTGTATGACCAATAATCCCGTTAAAACCCATATAAAATTTTAGTGATAGGATATCAGGAGCTTTGGCTCATGCACAAAACGGACATAATTTAATTAAAAATAAAAATTTATTTTAAAGTTAAGCATATGTTGCCACTCAATTATTTATTGGTTTTGGAATTTTCGTATACGCTCTTTAACTGAAGAAGTTTTGATATTTTTGAGGACACTAATTCCTAATATTTTTCAAAAATATAATTGAACTTTCAACGAATATTACAATCACAATTCATGAAAATAAATAATGTTAGATAAATATTAAGCATAATTAAAATATTTAAATATGGGGAAATAATATTTATTAGTATTTAATTTCCTTCATGATTGAGAATTTATTTTCTTAAATGTTTCTTTAATTTTTCCAAATTCCTTAGCATATGCCTTCTTAAAGTCAGAACTGAAATATTTATTTTTAAATCTAGAGATACTCTATGGCATTAGTAGCATAACTAAATAGTGTATCACGAATGTAAAATTCATAAAAAATTTATTATAACTAGAGCCCGGATTTTTATGCATTAAAAAATGCAAAATATGCACTATAATATTCATAAAAAATTGCCAAAATATGCACAAAAATATGCAAGTAAACCAAAATATACACGCATATATGCATGAAAAATACCATTTATACCTAAAAATTTTACATATTTTTAGTCAATATGATTTAAAATACATTTTTTTATTAAGATTTCTCCTATTTTAAATGTATAGTTCGACAAATTGAGCATTTTTACGGTGTTGGGCATTTTGAGATGAGGCATTTTGGTGGTGGGACATCTTGGGGTCGACGTTTTGGGGCTGAGACATTATGGGGGTGGGCCATTTTCTGGCGAAACCAATAAACTCAAAAATTTTTTTACAAAATTTGTAATTTTTACAAATTTTTTCCTAAATTTTTACTAAATTTTCACTTTTTGGCAGGATTTTAGTCAATTTTCGCAATATTTTCCCCAAAAACCTCAAAATATGCAGTAAAATATGCATTATGCAACAAAGTCCGAAATATGCAAAAATATGCATTATATGCAAATAAAAACCCCCTCAAAAATTTTCAAAACTTGCGAAACACTGTTTTTTGTGCATAACACATCATGAAAAGTTTGCAAAAAAAATGCATTTGCATAAAAATCCGGGCTCTAATTATAACTGATTGATCTTGTTGCACACTAATGCTAATATTGGCACTATATGAAAGGAGGTCGATAATCGTTTTTTTCATTACTATTTTCATTAACCTTTTTCCTTCCTTAATTACAAATAATGGTCAGTCTTTTCTTCCTCGTTCAATTCCACTCTTTTTACCTGTGGCATATTCAAATGAGGACAGACAAAACACGAGTGTTTTCTGTTCGTGTCCGTTCGTGTTTGTCTGGTGTTTTGTCTGTCTGTGTCATTCCGTGTTTGTCTGTCCGAGTCCGTCCGAGTTTTGTCTGTCTGTGTCATTCCGTGTTTGTCTGTCCGAGTCCGTCCGAGTTTTGTCTGTCTGTGTCCGTCCGGACGGACGGACTCGTACAGACAAACACGGACGGACACAGACAGACAAAACATCAGACAAGCACACGAACAGACACACTCGTGTTCTCTGTCCGTGTGTGTGTTTTTGTCTGTCCTCATTTGAATATGCCACAGGTAAAAAGAGTGGAATTGAACGAGGAAGAAAAGACTGAACATTATTTGTAATTAAGGAAGGAAAAAGGTTAATGAAAATAGTTATGAAAAAAACGATTATCGACCTCCTTTCATATAGTGCCCTAATATTAGTTCTTTTTGCTTTCTTATGCTAGTAAGTAGGTATATACATATCCCCGTACGAAGGTCGGGGAAATTGAATGGTGCACAAAGTCCTCGACTTCGGGGAAGTCGCCCCCCCCCGTGACGCTGCCTATAGGTAAGTACAGACTAGGGTTTGACCCCGAACGCTCGGGGGCGGGTATGTCGGGGTACGGGGTTTTCGAATTGTTTCGGGGCGGGGTTCGGGTCGGGGGAGCAAAATATGCTCGGGGTTCGGGTCGGGGTACGGGGGTTTAGTGGAAAAATTTTTTAAGGAAAATATGTTCTAAAAATAAGCCATTTTCGGTCTATTTTCGTTAATTTATTCAGAAATTAAGGGGAGATAGAGGAATTAGAGATAATATAAGAGGTTTTTTAGGGATTAAATGTGATTTAAGTTGTCTAACAAAGGATATAAAGGGATTTGGAGGGATTAAGGGAAGGATAAAGGCGATTTCGAGGGATTAAAATTGGTTTCATAGGATATCAGTGATTTTGGCTTTAATCTACACTAAGGTTGGCGGATCCGGATATCCGGATCCGAAAAAAGGCCGGATATCCGGAAATTTTCGGTTCGGATACCGGATCCGGATATCCTAAGATCAAACTATCCACCAACCTTAATCTACACCCTATATCGATTCAAATCCCATTAATCATTTCCTACGCCTAATATCAAATCCGCCGGTAAACTCCTAGCATTATAGCTGAGGAAATAAAGGGATTTTTGTATTAAGGACGGTTACTAAGGATACAGCGATTTGGAGAGATATAGAGGGTTAGGGATTTGAGGTGAGGGATTTGGGTCAAATATTTTGAGAATTTGGAAAGCAACGAAGCCAAATTTAATCTTTTTTTAGCGCCGCACATGAAAATTTTTGAAATTTTAACACTGAACAAAAATCTTTGCATTGTTTTTTATGGTTGATAATATTTAAAAATAAGATTAACATTTAAAATTAAAATTAAACCCTTCATTTTGTAAAGAAAAATCCAAAATCAAACGAGTTCAGCTTATTTGAATCCGAACCCAATACTAAATTAATGGAAATATAGGCTAAAACCAACAACTAAGCCACTCAACCACAAGTCTCTTAGCACAGCAGGAAAGAGAATTTTGATATTTCATTCATTTTTCTTTCAAAAATAATAAAAGCAAAGTAAATTGGAAGGAAATTTTTAAAATTTTTCTCTTAAAATTCTCCCAAAAATGGCATTTTTTGGGTATGTAAAACCCCGATAACCCCGAAACTTTTCGGGTCGGGGTACGGGGTTTTCACTTTTTTTCGGGGCGGGGTTCGGGTCGGGGAGAATCGTGAAAAAATCGTTCGGGAACGGGGTCGGGGTTCGGGGTACGGGGTCGGGGTCAAACCCTAGTACAGACCACAACATTCACTGAGCAAACATACAAATATTTCAAATAAATCGTGAATTGTGGTATTTGGTGTCTTCTATTATTATGCTAATTTGATAAAAAAAATTCTTACCTGCTAAAAAATAAAATAGGGCCATTAGAAGCTGCAGAT